CACCAGGTCCAGCCATTTACAAAGAAAGAGGGAGTCCATCTGAATGTTGACACATTCGGCGGCTCAGGTAATGTGTTTATTTTTATTTTTGAGACAGTCTTGCTTTATCACCCAGGCTGGAACGCAGTAGCACCGTGTTGACTCACTGCAACCTCCGCCTCCTGGATTGAAGCAATTCTTCATGCCTAAGCCTCCAAGAAAGCTGGGACTACAGGCATGCACCACCACGTCTGGCTAATTTTTGTATTTTTAGTAGAGATGAGGTTTCCCCATGTTGGCCAGGCTGGTCTTGAACTCCTGGCCTCAAGCAATCTGCCTGTCATGGATTGGACTGTGAGCCACCAAGCCTGGCCTCAGGTAATGTGTTTTAATAAGCAGCTATTTGGCATCCTTTTCCAGGGTAGTGGTAATGGCAGGGAACAATCAGACTGATGGGGTGTGTGTGAATGGCACCCTTCCTGCCTTTCTCCATCCCAAGGTTTTATCAAGATTCATCCCTCTCTTGGTCCTGGGGTTGTGGGGCCTGACCGGCACACAGGAATCTTTGTCTGGTTTCCACACCACTCATTCACAAAGGGGAAACTGAATCCTGTGTTAATCTTTCCACCTCAAAGATGATTCCAGGTGTGTGGGAGCTCAGCCTCAGAGAGGCTCCTCTCCTGGCTCTGGTTCCCCTCCCTCCCCTGTGGGCTGCCCACTGAACTGGGCCTCTGGGCTCAACTTGGCAGCCTGCAGGCCACCAGGAGGAGGTGGGTAGAGATCTGGATGGGTTTACAACAGCTTGACTGGAAAACTTGGGGATTTCAGATCTCAGTTAAGAGGAAGGCTCTGGAATACAGACCCTAGCCCTCTTGTGTTTGGGGCCAGGCACAAAAATCAGGAGCTCAGTGAAGTTTCTGTCCTTGCATCTCTTCCAAGGGTGGGGCTTGAGAGAAGGGAGGGCCAGAGCTGAATCTGAAGCCACAGTGAGTCACTGTGCCACGGGCATCTTCCGAGGCTTGGAGAAGTCACCTAGAAAGGCCTAGGCTCCATGCCGCATTCTTCTCCAGAACCTGCTTACCTCTACCCTGGTGGACTCATCCCCAGGCCAGCAGAGAGAGAGAGGCCTGGGTGCGTGGGATGGGTGGAGCGGGCAGAACTCCTCTCCTTCCATTCAGCTGCCCAAACCTTGGCCTGGGCAGCTCCCTGTGTGTGAGCCCAGTCTGGGGCTCCCCGCCTCACTGCCTCATCCTGATGCCAGGCTCTGGAAAGGAGCTGGGGGACTTCTAATAAGGCTTCCTAGACCCTTCACACAAAATGGAGGCAGACGCGCTCCAGCACTGCCTTGTCTTAGAAGAAAATTTTCTCTTTATGTCCCCTTTCATTCCTTTTCTCCCCTTTTCTCCTTTGCAATCAAGGCTGCCTGGGTTAAAATCCTAGCTTCCCCTCCACCTGTGTGGTTTTGGGCGAGTTCCTTAATCTCTCTCTGTGTCTCAGTTACCTCGCCCAGGAGGGGATAATAATAGGTCTGATGTGAGGACTAAGGCCTGGGAAGTGCTTAGATCCGGGACAGCCAGGATGGGGAGGTGTAAGCTGTTATGAGGGGGGGCAGTGCAGGCGGCAGGGGCTGTCCTTTTGGAATCCTAAATTTCACACTGAAAAAGGACATGCCCTCCGCTGCCTGAGTTTGAACTAAAGTCCGATGAGGAGAGGGGTCACACTGGAATTCAGAATTACATCTTTAGGGGAAGATAAGTGTCTGTCCTCTTTAGGCGGTGGGGTGACAGCAGCGGGAATCCTGCTGTCCCCTTTTAAACACATACAGACGGGGCACCTCGTTTGCCCAGGCCTGAACCCCGGGGCCGCGCAGCGGGCAGGCAGCCTTCTGCTCCAGGAGGGCGCGGAGACGCGGCCGCTGCGCGCAGGACTCCCATAGCCGCCAGGGGGCGCTGTGGCCACGCGGCCGCCGCCGGCCTCCCCGCGAACCCGGACCCGGCGCGGCGCTCCCGGTTCAGCGAGGCCACCCCTAGCCCAGCCCGGGCGGCCCACTCGCAGGCCCCGCGGGGAGCACCCGGTCTCCTGCCGAGCGTGGGGACCCGGCTGAGATCCGCCGCCCCTCTGGCCTCAGTTTGCGCTTCTGCAAAGTGGCACCGCCTGCCGCCCGCGTGGCCGCTCCTCAGCCCCAGGTCTTCAGGTTTCTCTTCTCAGTCATGGGGCCCTGCACTCGGTGCCCGACTCAGCCAGATCCCAGCTGAGATCCCTCTGATCTCAGCCTCGGAGGAGGCTGCTTCCCCCCATCCCTGCTTCATTTTCTCCCCTTTCCTCCCTCCGTTTTTCCTTCCTTCCACCCTCTCCTTTCTCTCTTCCTTTCCCTGTCCTCTCCTCTACTTCTCCTCCCTCCCTCCCGTCCTCGTCCTCCCTTCCTTCTTTTCTTCCTTTCTTCCTCTCTTCCTTTCTTTCTCCATCCCTCCCTCCCTCCCTCCCTCCTTCCTTCCTTCTTGGGGCCCTACCTCCCCCCTCCCTCTCTCTCTCCTTCCCCCCCCCGTCTCCCTCCCTCCCTCTCTTCTTCCCTCCCTCCCTCCTTCTTTCCTTCCTTCCGTTCTTCCTGGCGCTCTCCTTCCCCCCCTCCCTCCCCTCCTTCCCTGTTTCCCTCCTTTCCTCTTCTCTCCCTCCCTCTCTCTTCCCTTTCCTCCCTCTCTATCTCCCCTCCCTGTCTCCCCTCCCTCCCTCTCTCTTCTCTTGCCTCCCTGTCTCCCCTCCCTCCCTCCCTGTCTCCCCTCCCTCCCTCTCTCTAGCTGCTGGTTCAGCAGAGGACTCCAGGTTTGATTCCGGGTCTCTCCTCCTCAGAGGGGATCTGCTTTCCTGTGCGCTGCAGCGTCCATCCTGCTGCCCCCAGCCCCTCCCTCCCTCCAGGCACCTTAGACTTGATTGTTGGAACCTTGAACTCATCTTGGGCCGCAGTCGCAAGTTGGACAAGCTTGTTCTAGTGTGCTGTCAAGAATGAGAGGGTCATTTCCAGCTGGAGGGTGACAGATCACACAGAAATTTGGGCCTCTCCCTAACCTGAGTCCTGAGCAGGGAGTACCCTCTGGATAATACCAGCTAACACCATGTCTCCATGAAACTGACCAAGGAGTGAAAATCATTTCTTTCTGAAAGGCACGCTACACATTCATCCTTTTAAAGGCAGTAATAAAACATGGAAAGGGTCTAAAAGTGTTGCATCTCTCCTCATCCTCGACCCCAGCCTCCCAGTTCCTCTTCCTGCAGGCAGCAGTTGGTGCGAGCTTCCTACATAGCTTTCCAGATACTCTGTGCAGAGAAAAACGTGTCGGTCCACATGCCTCCTTTAGAAAATATAGCACCGTAGACAGGCTGCTCTATACCTTGCTTTTGACTTAAAATATATTTTAAAAATACATCTTAGAGACTGTTCAATATCACAATATGAGGTTGATCTATCTCCAGCTGAGTGGTGAAGAGGATATCTCTGTATTTTTAGTAGAGATGGGGTTTCGCCATATTGTCCAGGCTGGCCTTGAACTCCTGACCTCAGGTGATCTGCCTGCCTCAGCCTCCCAGAGTGCTGGGATTACAGGCGCGAGCCACCACGCCCCGCAGTTTACTTTAATTTTTAAAAATCACGATTTAAACAGGAAATATGTGCCCTATAGTGCTAGTTGCAAATGTAAGCTTTGGAGACCATCCTGTATGCTGGCTTCCCCACTTGCCAGCTGTGTGTCTTTGAACAAGCTGGTTTTCAGCCTCTCTGGGCCTCTGCCTAACCCATCTGTAAAATAGGGATCATGTGTCTAATCACTTGTAAGGTTGTTAGTGGGTCAGATGAGGTAATAGATGCAAAGACACTTGGAGCAGTGCTTGGCATGTGAGGAAGATGATGGCAGTATTAGAAATAACAGCAGTTAAATCCTCCGGGTACTCACCACGGGCCAGACACGGGAAGCATATGGCTTCACTCGGGCCTCCCGTAACCTGTTCCATCTTTCTTCCAACTTTAATCAAGCTCTCCCATGTACCTGGGACTGTTCAATATGTTCTGTGCCTCTCTATGAAAGGGGCTACTATATTATCTCCATTTTAGAGAAAAAGAAACTGAGCCTCAGAGAGGTTAAGTAATTTGCATAAGGTCACCTATGCTCATAGAAGTCCAATGTATTTTGTGTCTCATTCCAGACCTGGAGATGATGTCTTATGCACGCGCTGTGGCTTACGAGACGGCCTGCTCCTGCACTCTGTCCTTCCCCTGTCCTGTTCCCTGTCCTCCTCTCCCTGCTTCCCTCTTCCCCCTGCACCCTTCTTTCTCTCCTCTTCCTCATCTCTTCCCCCTCCTCCTTCCCTCCTTTTCCTTTTCTTCTCTTCTACCTCTCCTCTTCCGCTGCGTTGCTCCCTTTTAACTCTTATTCCTTCTGTCCCCCTCCCCTTGGCCAGAGTCCAGACTCAAGGGCTCATATCTAGTTGCCTTCTGGGGGTCACAAACAGAAGTACAAGAGCAGCTGCCCTTCCCCTCAAAGGGCTGAACTACCCAGGCCCTGCCAGCCCAGCCCAGCAGGGCAGTGAGGGTGTGTGTGTGTGGATCAACCTGCATATATGTCAGCGTATGTGAGACCTGTGTGTCTGCTATTGTGCCCCGTTCCTCCATGGGTGTGCATGGTTGTGTGTGCGGTTTTGTGTGTATGTGGGTAACAGGTGCCAAAGTCCTGACCTGCCTCAGCCAAGGCCCTGCCTGTGCACTGTGGGAGCGACTTTCAGTATCTGTGCCCCACCCTGACCACCCCCGATGGGGCTGACCAGCCAGGTCCTGGCCACCCAGTTGTCTGGAGCCCGAGGAAACTGGGCTCAGTCTCAGGCCTCAGGCTAGAATCACGCAGACCTGCATTTCCCACTGGTTCAGTTCCTTCTTGAAGATTTCTCAGCTTGTTGGGCTTATCCAGAAATGGGCTGGTAACATCTGCTCAACAGGACGCTTGCAGGGGTCCTAGGAGAGAAGGTGTGTAGGAGGATATGTGGCTTGTGGCTTCTGCCTGGCCCCACCTTGCAAGGATCCAGATGCAGGGAACAAACCACAGCACTGTGGTCTCAGAGGTCTCTGCCTGCTCAGACCCACGGTCCACGCCCGGCTGTGACGTGGACACATCTGCTCCCTCACAGTCCAGGAAAACCGGCCCTAAGCTGGGCAAATTCTTCCTGTGGGGATCAGAGCCAGTGAGCATGCCTGGACAGCATGTGGGATGGGGTGTGAGTGCTCAGGGTCAACCCCGCAGAGCCTGGAACGAATGCCCTGATCTTTCTGGAGCGTTTCCTGATGGGGTTTGTGAGGAATGTCTGCTGGGAGGTGAGTGGGGGTCTTGGGAGCCTGCTGGCCCCGAGGCTGAGCTGTCACTGCTGGGCTCTCCAGTGGCGGCCGCCAGGGCAGTTCCTGGCTGGCCCACTGCATGCACATCTGGATGCAATTGTCTGCAGCTGCCGGGGTGAGGCGTAGGCTGCGGTCAGGGATGGATGCTACACTTGGGGAGATCTCATGGGGTGGGGGTGGGGTCTGATTGCTCAGAGACTGAGCCGCCTACTCAGAGCAGGGAAGGAAGACCAAGGAGAAAGAAAAGAAAGGAAGATAGATGGGGCAGTGGTGATGGGGGCCAGGAATATCTTTTTGTTCTGAAGAACATTCTGGCTTTTCCCAACAAATCACAAAATTCAAACGGGGAAGCTGTTTTAACTCTAGTCACACCCATGTCTAAATCAAGCGAACATACCACACACACATGTTTTTGTTTCTAAACTCATCAAAGGAACTTCGGGCCTGTACAGGGTCCTAAAAATACATACTGAAAACTGCTCGTGTTCCAGCCTCTCCTCTGCTTTTTTTGTTTTGTTTTGTTTTGTTTTTTTTTCGAGACTGAAAAATTTCCGGCAATTTTTGACATCCCTTGCTCTGACCTCAAGCAGCAATAGGCTTTATCTGATAGTGTTAGAGTATTCAAATTCACTGAGGGCTGGGGGGTCCTGCAGGGGAGAGGGCAGGGAGTCTGTGGGGTGAAATGAATCGTTCTCTGGTTCCAGAGGATGGCAGAACCATCCAATTCCACTGCCTTTTTTTTTTTTTTTTTTCTTTGAGACGGTGTCTCTCTCTGTCATTCAGGCTGGAGGGCAGTAGTGGGATCTTGGCTCACGGCAACCTCTGCCTCCTGGGTTCAAATGATTTTCCTGTCTAGCTTCTGGAGTAACTGGGATTACAGACACCTGCAACCACACCTGGCTAATTTTTGTATTTTTAGTAGAGACGGGGTTTGACCATGTTGGCCAGGCTAGTCTCAAATTCTGACCTCAAGTGATCCACTGGCCTCGGCCTCCCTAAGTGCTGGGATTACAGGTATGAGACACTGTGCCCAGCCCCATGTCATCTTATAGCTGGAGAAAATGAGCCCACATAGGACTGGTGACCTGCCTCAAGATACTCAGCCAAGATTCACCCCGAAGTGATCCAGTGCAGAGGGCTCTGGGCTTAGCTGTGTCCAGTAGGTTGTGTTATAACCTCCACAACTTACTTCCACGTCAGGAACATGTCTGATTTGGGATGGAGCCACATCCTTGAGGAACTTGGAGGTGTTAGAGTGGGAGGTACCCTGGGGGGCTGGCAGAGAGCAGGCTGGCTCAGCACTCCAGGACAGGGCCTTCCAACTTCCTTTCCTGCTATGTGTTGTTGGGGATAACTCACCTGGCCCTTTAGCTCCCCATTTGGAAATAATAGTAGTAACGATATTAATATTTGTCATTGAATGAGCACTTACTATGTGCGCTTCTCTCATTTCATCCCAGCTGACCTCACAACCCTTTCAGGTGGGTACAGCTATATTAGCTTGACTCTGCAGACAAAGCATCTGAGGCTCAGGCAGGTTAAGTGGCTTGTCTAAGACAGGGAGGCTGTGGTTGAACCCAGGCTTCTACCCTTCTCACTGACTGTTGTGCCCCCTGCCCCACAGGCTTGAGGTGAAGGCTCATGGAGACCTTGGATGGACAAGATGAAAAGGCCTGTGCTCCCGGTTCGAACAGTGAGGCCTGGTAGTGACTGGAGCGCAGATGACCCTGGGTAGACCCCACAGGCTTGAGGGGAAGGCTCAAGGAGACCTTGGATGGACGAGATGAAAAGGGCTGTGCTCCTTGTTCCAACAACCAGTGGGGCCTGGTAGTGACAGGGGCACAGATGGCCCTGGGTAGAAATCCCCTCTCTTTGTGCTTCCTCCAGAAGCCTTCCCTTCTCCCCTGGAGTCCCATGGCCTCTGCAGCTGGCCTGGCCCCTCATGCTTTCCGGAGCCCATCAGAGTTCTGGAGCCTTGCAGTGTGGGTACTTTAGTGCCCAGTCAGGAAGCAGTGAGGCCCACGGGCAACCTTATCCCGTGTTCTGCCATCCCCTACCATGGCGTGGACCGCCAGCCGCTCATGTCTCTGCCAAGGCAAAATTAGGATGCGTACCTCCTGCAGAGAGGGCGGATTTAACCAAAGCTCCCGCTGGCTGTCCTGCCCGGGCTCTTCCAAGTGGCTGACAGGAGGTCGAGGAGAGAGAACCCATGGTCAGTGTCCACGACATTCTGGACGACAAGGACATCGTCTCTGGGCTGGCTGCTTGCTCCCCCATACTGGGAGGAGCTGGAGGCCGGCAGGCACCATGCTGTCCTCCAGGCTGGCTCAGAGTGAGCGCTTCATAAATGTCATTGACTGAGTGAGTGGGGAAGGTGGGGGGACTTCAGGAACAGTCTTGCCCGGATGGGCAGCTTTGTGGGAACTGTGAGGATTGTCCTGTGCCCACTAATTGGGACTGCTTCCTGCTGGTGACAGCTGGCATTTTTCTGGTTTATTATACTAGGTTTTTGGGAAATGTTCCCTTCCCTGGGCAGGACATTTCTCTATTATAGATAAGATAAGGGGAATCAAGTTGGAGAAGGTTATGTGACAGTAATTGGAGGACGCTCAGCCCCTCTACGGAGCAGCCGGGTGATTTCTGCAGTATGTTTTGTTCCATGGCACTTGATAAACAGCAGTTGGAGTCATTTGCAGGTTTGCTTTCTGTGTGGCAGGGTAGAGTGGCCCATGGGGTGGGATTCTGGGCTTTGGTTGTGGTGAGGAGGTGACACTTGTGGGTGAAATGCTGGGGCTGGTGAGGGTGGAACCCTTCTGCCCAGTGAATCCCAGGCCACTGGTTTCTCCTCTAGCACCCCTTGATGCCCAGCTCCAGAGTGCTGGGCAGGGCTGGGCTGGGCATGTGGCATTGGCAGTGAACTTGGGCCGGGCTGCGTTTTGGCTCCAGGTTCCTTACTCTGTTTATAATGGGAAGCATAGAGGTGGGGCCATCCCACCTCTGTTCTAGGACCACAGACTTTCCCGAATCACTCCCTCATACTACTGCCCCGGTCTCTTCCTCTCTGGTGTGGCAGGGAAGCAGGGCAGTCTAGCCTGGTTCCACAAGGTGTCCTGTCAGGAATCTGGGGACATCATGGACTTAGGACAGGCATGAGAAAGGGGCCTGGGGCTTAAGAGTTTACTACCAGAGGCTAAAGAAGTCTGGAGCCCCTTGAAGGATATCCCAGCTCAATAGACACCAAGTTTTTATCTGTTTCTCCTTTAATGAGATGCTTGTTCACCAGGCAAATGTTTGCACCAAAGGCATTGAAGCAAGAAACGAGGGGCGTGCAGTATATTCCGGTTTGCCCTTCCGGATCATTCTCCATGCCACTGTGTGCCGGGAGCTGCAGGGCATTGTCTGCAACACGAGGGCTCTCATCCTCTGGCCTCTGGGTCAGTTTCATGGGTGGGAGGCGGCAGCAGGAGGTTTCTTCCCTGCCCCTTCCTGCTGAACTGTGGGTTAACAGTGGCTCCTGAGACAGCTCCAGCTCCCTCCAAGGTCCCTATTCCCCGCCCAACTCTGGAGGCCGACGGGTGGAAACCACATTTGGCTGTTGGAGCTCTACCTCCCTTGTGGGTTTGCCTTAAGCCTTCTGTAAACACTCTTCAGTGGGATGAATAGTGGCCTCCAGAAGGTATGCCCACACTCTAAGCCCCAGAACCTGTGAATGTGACCTTATTTGGCCAAAGAATCTTTGCATTTGTAATTAAGTTTAGAGATCTGAAGATGAGATCATCCTGGATTATCTAAGTGGGCCCTAAGTTATAAGACAAATGTCCGTGTAAGAGACAGATGAGAAGACACAGAGACACAGGGGAGGCCACCATGTGAGGACAGAGGAGAGACCGGAGGGAGGGAGCCAGAGGCCACAGAACGCCTGGAGCCGCCTGAAACTGGAAAAGGCGAGGAGGGATTCCCCCCTGGAGGCTTCCAGGTGATCAGGGTTCTGCCCCACACATGGATTTCGGACATCCGGCCTCTAGAACTGTGAGATCATACGTTTCCGTTGTTTTAAGCCACCAAGTGTGTGGTAATTTGTTGTGACATCGCCAGAAAGATACAGACAGGTCCTTCCATTGAACTCTCCCCAGTCACCCTGTCCAGGTGTGCCAGGAGCCAGGCTGATGGGGAAGGATACCATCCAGAGGACATTTGAGGGCTGGGGAGTGCCCAGCACCATGCATCCAAGTCCCCAGGGGATGGCCCTGAGCACAGACCCAGGGATTTTGTGGTGAAAACAGCAACCATAACAGCTGAGGCAGGTGCTGGCAGGTTCTGTCCTCATCCCCTAGGCCCACGTGATGCTACCTGCAGCTGCTGTGGAAAGTTCCAGAACACTGATGACTTCCCACCCAGGGCATCCGCTCTCTCAGGTAGGGTGTCCTCTACCTGTTAGAGCAGCTCTGCCCATGCAGGGGGGAAGGCTGAGGGTACTGGGGGTCACTGTCCCAGGAGCAGACAATCCTTCGCAGTTGGGAGTGTCCCTCCATGGGGCAGTTCTGAGGTTTGTGTGACACTGTGTCCTGAACATCCCAGCAGTAGTGAGCCCAGTTCCTCACTGTGATGACTTGTATCAGGAACACCCCCCACCCCATTAGCTTTCTTCACTTTCTTGATCACCTCCTCGCTCCCTCACCATATTCTGGCATCGCCTCTCAGTTAACTACTTGCACCAAATCTTTGTCTCAGGGGCTGCTTTTGGTGAAACTGAAACTAAATCAAGAGCTTGCAATGCCCATGCATTCACAAGGCACCCCCTTCCCGTGCATTCACAAGGCACCCCCTTCCATGCAATTGTGTGCCACTTTCTTTGACAGCCCATGGGGTTGGTACTTCTATGATTTCCATTTTGCAGAGGGGTGTACCCAGACACTCCAAGACCAAGTGACTTGCCCAAAGTCACAAACCAGGGTCCCAACCCAGATGGAGTCTGATTT